AGCTCACAGCAACCTCAAACTCTTGGACTTAAGCGATTCTCTTGCCTCAGCCTCCCAAGTAGCTGGGACTACAGGTGCCCGCCACAATGCCTGGCAATTTTTGTTATTGTTTTAGTTGTCATTGTTGATTTTAGCTGGCTCGGGCCAGGTTCAAACCTGCCAGCCTCAGTGTATGAAGCTGGCGCCCTACCCCCTGAGCTACGGGCACCACCTTCTCAGGTAACTCTTGCACTAACTCATCATTGTACCTTAGTCTATCCCGGAATGTGATAGGCACTTCTTTACCTTTTGCTGTTATGTGGGAGAAGGGCTTTCTGAAATGTACATGTGTGCATATGGCAGGACTTATCAGGGAACTTGAGCACATGTGGTTCATAAGGTTGTCAAGAGAACATGCAGTGGTTTGAGATTTTAACCAAAGTTATTGGATTTTGAATCTGTATTTCTAGACACTGTTTCCAGCAAGTTGCAAAACAACAATGTTTACACTATTGCCAAGAGGAATGTGGAAGGGCAGGACATGCTGTACCAATCCCTGAAGCTCACTAATGGCATTTGGATTTTGGCTGAACTACGTATCCAGCCAGGAAACCCCAATTATACGGTAAGGCCCTCTCAGAATGGGTGAGATGGATTAGAGGAGGGAGGTAAGAGCCCTTTCTTTTTTTCTTAGCACCCTGGAATGACCTGGTGGGAGGTGCTTCAAACCTGAAATACACAAAACAAGCAATCTGTGAAGGCATCCCCAGTTGTCTAAGTTGAAGTCCTTTCTGTAGTGTCTGCCCATCCCACAGTCATGGTGCCTCTGAGTACTTCAAATCCATCCTTCCCCAGTACATACAAAATCACTCACAAAACTTGGCAACTTCATCCTTGATGTCACATATCTAGCATACCTGAACATGTGATGTCACTTATCTAGCATACCTGAACATGTGGTACTGTAATAAGCTGCTGAGAAGGATTATTTGCAAAGCTAATTTCAAGAAGACCTTTCTTGCTTTGGGAGTTTGTGAGCAAAGGGTATCATAAACATATCCTTTTTTTAGCACCATTATCTGACCTAAATGCTTGTTGTGAAAGGTAAGGCAAAATGGAACATATATTTGGCAGCCTATAAGGGTATTTCCAGTACGACAGTGAATTGCAGTAAAAATTTTGGCAAAGAAGCGTGATTACCCCCAGTTTGCAGATAAGGAAATCATGGCACATTATAGAGCAGAAGCAGTTGCTTTGTTACACAGCAAAGATTGAAATCCAAACACAAGGATTTTTTGTTGGGAAAATGTGGTCACGTGATAGGATGCTACTTATCATCTACATTTTGAAAAGTAAAAGAAAAGCCCTTGGGATGGGGTTTTTATAGGCCTTTTAATTCTGGGGAAACTGAGTAGTCAGTAAATTAAGGAACCCTTTTAGCCATTTTGCTGAGAAAAGCATGTGCCCCCATTCCTTAATTTGGACAGCTAAGTCTATTTTCACTTGTATATATCAAGGGAATAGTACCACCCAGAACTGAGAAAATTCTTGGTAGTTTCCCCACTGATTCCTTACCTTGAAATGTAGCATGTGTATGTGTGAGAGAGAGAGAAAGTTCCTGAGTCCTATCAAGTTAAATTTTTCTCCAAGCATTTGTGAAGCCTGGGAAACTTCAGGCTTACCATGCGTTTACCATCCATTATTCTGTTGTAGGCATTCTTCCATGCCAGCTGGGTTAAAAAAGCATGGTTACCCGCAGGTTGTAGATAAGGAAATTATGGCTAAAAATGACTAGTGCTTTGTTCAAAATCATGTAATTTATTGGTAGATGAGTTGTGTTAGAATTCAGATATTTCTTGACATTTCTTATACCACATTATTTATTTTGAGAAGGGCCTTTTAACATCACTATCCTAAATATAGCTTGTTAAATTTTTTTAAACACTTTATTTTGAAATAATTGAAGACTTACAAGTTACTAAAATGGAACAGAGTTCCTATTTATCTTTCACCCAGTTTCTTCCTTTGATAACATCTTCCAAAGGCTGGATGCAGTGGCTTATGCCCATAAATCTTAGCACTCTGGGAGGCCGAGGTGGGTAGATTGCCTGAGCTCACAAGTTCGAGACCACCCTAAGCAAGAGCAAGACCTCATTTCTAAAAATAACCGATCGTTGTGACAGGCACCTATAGTCCCAGCTACTCAGGAGGCTGAGTTAAGAGAATCACTGGAGCCCAAGAATTTGAGGTGGTTGTGAGCTGTGATGCCATGGCAGTCTACCAAGGGCGACAAAGTAAAACTCTGTCTCAAAAAAAA